GTTCAAATTGACCTTGCAGTCCAGTGCTTACCTACAGCACCATACCAGGACCCCTATTTCCTATGGCTCTTTTATAATGTTGTTGTTGGTAAGTGCCATTGAGTCAGTTCTGACCCATAGCAACCCTGTATAGGGTTTTAGAGGAGCAGCTGGTGAACTTGAACCTTGCAGTTCCAAACAATTTTGCAGTCTAGTGCATTAATCCAGAGTACCACACCAGGTCTCTATTATAGTTGTTGTTGTTAAGTGCCATTGAGTCAGTTCCAACCCATAGTGACCCTGTATAGAGTTTCCGAGGAGCTGCTGTTGAGCTTGGACCACTGACCACGTGATTCAAACTGACTTTGCAGTCTAGGGCATTAACCCACAAATCTGTTTTTCTCGGGGAGGTGTTACCACATCCTTCAAGATTGCTCACTATAAGCACCACAATGAAAAGACCCAAGTATAGAGTGGTCATGATTTTACCAGAAAGATTGTACAGGGATAATCAGGGCCCATGGCAGATTGTCTGTCTCTACAGCAAGGAGCTCTCGGAATTTGAGACCTACTCCCCTAAGGACAAGAGATCTTGCTATCAGTAGCAATGGTTTCTTTGCCAGTGATTCTCAGAGGGAGATGGGGAGAGGGGGAATCGTGTGTCCTTAACCACATCTCTATGGTTCTAGACATTGAAGCCATAGGAAATTTATAAGCAGAGGAGGGTAATGTACTAGAATCATATTTTTATTATTGAAAGATCATTCACTCAAATAACACTGTGAAGAATTCACAAGAGTGGAGAAGACAGAGGCAGAAACCAATTGAGGAAATTGTCATGACAATGCAGGTAAGGAATTATGAAGTGATCCAAGTTAATACAAAACTGGACATAAATGAAGTATCAAGAGAAAAGTGCTGGGCTAGAATGGGGCGGGCAAGGGAAGAAGAGGGATGGGGTTGACACATTGGTGAGGGAATCAGCATCTAGGAATTTGGGTGGAGAGTAAGTTTTATAATAGAATACTTTAGGCTCATTTTTGACAAATTGTATTTGCGTCCTGGTGTGGCACTGTGGGGATACTTCAAAGTTGGTTTGAACCGCAAGGTCGGCAGGGTTGCTGTGAGTTGGAAATGACCCAATGGCATTTAACAACAACAATTTAAGAGATTTAGCAATTTCAAAGGATGGGAAAAATAAAGTATATTATTGATAATTTAGAACTCACTAATAAAATTTACCTCTTAATTTAAAATTAGTCAAGATTATTCACTTCCCAGCAACTTTCTGTCAAAACACACACACACACACCAAATAATAAAATCACAGATTTGGCAAATTATAGTAAATACTAGGGTCCACAAGTACTTTAATTTTTAGCATAGAATCTTAGTCAAAAATAGCACAAAGTGTTCATTGTAGCACTATTATTCACTGTAGTAAAGAGGCTGTAACAACCCAACCATTCATCAACAGATGAATGAATGAACACAATGATATATACATACAATGGAATCTTTTTCAGCTATCAAGGAAAATGAAGGTGTGATATAGCAATGAAATAATGAACCTTGAAAAATATTATGCTGAGTGAAATAAGTACAAAAGAACAAATATTGTATGGTCCTAATTCCATAAGATATCTAAAATAAGTAAATGCATAGAGACAATAGTTTATTAGTGGGTATCAGACTCAGGGGAGGGGAAAATTGGGATGTATTACTTAAAAGGTAATGAGTTTCTGGTTGGGGTAATTAAAACTTTTGCAAATGGATAGTGGGGATAATTGTACAAGGTGAATGAAATGTATACTTAAAAATGGTTAAAGTGGCAAACTTACTGTTATTTGTATTTTGCCACAATAAAATGTATATATAGTATTTAAGAAAAACTCTCTCTCTCTCTCTCTCTCTCTCTCTCTCTCTATATATATA